AATGATTTTCCACTAACCATGTATATGTTAATCATGTACTTAAAAAATAAAACTGATAAATATGGATAGTTTCCATGGCCCTAAATCTTTTCCTTGTCCAACAGCCCCAATTCTTTAAAAAAAAAAAAAAAGGGACAAGTAAAGGGTTTCTCATACAGATCAAAAATAAAATGTTTTAAAACTCAGGTAAAACTGAAACAAAAGCAGTATGTAGAATCAGATTAAGAAAACTCTATGTAGAAAGTCTAACAAGCCTGACTGATAGAACACTACACACTTTCCTGAAGGAAGAAAAAGGGGTAAACTTTCAAAACGGGTATGAAATTCAACTGAGAAAAAAATATGTATGTACATATATAATATGTAAACAAAATAATAAATGTAGGTTCTTACCAAAACTTCAAACTTAGCCCTTTTTAGCACCATTAAGGCTAAAAAAGGGGGGGGGGGAGTACTGTTTTATAGGATAAAGATGACGAAATAATGCGACCCTGTTAGGCATGCAGGTAAAGAGTGTAATCTCCACCTGCACTGGCCGATTTCCCGTTTATATTTTGGGAGTTACAGGAATTCTAATTCTCGTCTCAAAGTCCAAACCAAACAATTATTCCCACCTTAATTTGTTTAGTGTTTGTAACACCTGATTTCTCTTGTTTTACTCCAAAACAAAAATATGCCCCCAAACTGCTCCGCTTAAGGTTTTTTGCAGTACGGAGGTGGGGGTGGGGAGGGATTATTTCAGAAAAATCTCTCCAAAGAAGATATCAGATAAAATATTAGCACACGGAAAAGTTGTATACACATTTTACTTACTTACAAATTCTAGCAGGGTCTTAAACTGTGAACTGTCAACGTCAGGGGAGCCCTTCGGGTGTTCTTTCCGCTCCACGACGCCGCCGGGCTGCACCCCTCCTTGGACGCGGCCGATCGGAACGTCGTCCCAGCTCCTGTCCACGTGACACGACCTCAGTGGGGAGGGGAGGAGCCCGTGGAATGCTGGGACTGGTAGTCGGCCCGCCCCTCCTCCTCCTCAGGACGCACCCCCCTTCCTCCATTCTCCCCCCTCCACCCGCCAAAGCCCGGGCGAGAGGCGTGGCGAGCGCGCCCCACAGAGCCGCCCGGGACCAGGTCCCCTGCAATCCCACAGGAAGGCACCCATCTCTGCAAAATGACCACAGACTCTAGTCTTTATAAATTTACAGGCTGGAACAACCCATGGCACCAACTCTGTGAGGGGCACTACCCAGTAATGGCAAGCACCAGGCAGACGTGACTTGGAACCTCTGCTAGGTGTGTGTCCGCAAACGAGTTGCTTAATCCAAACCTCCGTTTGCTTGTGTCAAATGGGGGCAAGGCTCTTACATACATACCTCATAAGGTTATAGTGAGCAAACGTGCTAATTAATGAACGTAACGGTATTTGCTAAATGACAGTAGTAAATTTTTTAAAATAGCTATTATTTTGATTATATAAATGTTAAGATTGAGAGCAAGGAATTTACGCTAGAACACATGATCAGCCAGGGGCAGCCAAGAAAGTCTAAAATTCCTCTTCCTGATCAACACCAATTCAAAACAACGCAGAAGAAATCCCTCTTAAAGCTCACTCTTCCTTATTTTTTCCTCGTAACATTTCTGACCAAGACACTATTTTACTGACTTTGATTTTTATCTGACTCCCATAGAATATAAATTCCATCGCAGGGTTGGTTGTATTTTAGTCGTCTTTCACTGCTTTATCCCCAGAACCTAGAGCAGGGTTTGTCTAGTACAGAGCAGAAGCTCAAGTATTTATTTGGTTAATGATTCTTCATGTAGTGGTGATTTGGGGTGCCTTCATCTCTCATTCTTTCTGCGGAAATCACAGAAACACTGTGATTTGGGAATATTCCTAGATGCTGCAATTTCTTTTTTCTTTTTTTTTTTTAAGATTTTATTTATTTGTCAGAGAGAGAGAGAGAGAGAGAGCGAGCGCACAGGCAGACAGTGGCAGGCAGAGGCAGAGGGAGAAGCAGGCTCCCCGCCGAGCAAGGAGCCTGATGTGGGACTCCATCCCAAGACGCTGGAATCATGACCTGAGCGGAAGGCAACTGAGCCACCCAAGCATCCCGATGCTGCAATTTCTAATTCAACAAAGCATAAGTATTACAACCCACTTACTTTAACTTTTTTTAAAATTTCAGTATAACATTTCCAGCTAGACACTTTCATTTGTATTAATGGTCTTTAAAATATTTTTCCTTTTACTTGTGAGAATGGGGAATGAATGGAGTAAGCTACTATTTCTTTAGTTTACTTTCTGAGTATTTTAATCTTTAACTTATAACAATGTTGCTTTTCTACTAAGATACAAAGTTCTTTCCCTACTGACCAGAAATGTGATTATGCGCAAAGAACTGATAGATGCTTTCTCAGTAAATAACTGGATTTCTGCTTATCCTAAACAAAAAACTCTCCTACAAAAATTACATTATTTTTAAATGTTTCTTTTAGAACAGCTGCTTTAGAAATTCAGTGTCAACAACACTAGACTTCTAGACCTAGGCATGAAAGCTGGGTATATAAATGATGCCAGTCATTTAATCTGAATTATAATTTTTTGTGTATGTCTTTCTCCGAATAAATGGCAAATTCCCTAAGGATAAAGAATACACATTAATTTAACCCATACATTTATCAAATGTCTATTCTGTGGCAATACGGATGTTTGATAAATATGTAAATTAAATTCTTATAATCATTTCTTCTCTTCCCTGTCTTATGATCCACTGAATTCCTCTATATATCTCAAATTCCCGAAGTAACTGTCTAACCTCCAGAGCTCAAGCTCCATCTTGGGATTGGTGACCCAGCAAGTCCCTTACACTACTGGCTATGAATCTACTGCCTCTAATGTCACCTCTTATGGGCCAGCCTTGTAGTTTGGAAAATATCTACAGCAGCAAATCTGGTTTGACAAGAGCTTAGCTCTACCTCACAGTTAGTGACGAAAGCTGGTATTTGTAAGGTTGCTAGGTGTGGGAGGCAGGTATGGCAGAGCTAGGAATAAGTATCCTTACCTAGACAAAAGAGAGAAAATCATAAGCAAATATATGTGTTATCATCAAAGTTACCATATCTGTGATTTTATGAATCCCTATTTGTTTCTTTGGAAAGCCAAAGCCATTAGTTTCTTTCCTAAGCCTTTACAAGCAGCTAGTGTAACACAGTACTGATTATTCAATAATATGAAGATCATTTACTTTGATTGTTCAGTAACATATAGAATCTCTCCTTTCTTTCTTAGTATGTCCCCAAACCTAAGTTTAAAAGGCTGTGTCCAAGTTCCTACATAGAAACTGTACTGGTAAGTGTTTGAAAGAGGTACTTACTATGCATTAATGTTTATAATATGAATTTTGTATATTAATACTATAAAGTTTTATATTATTTAGTAATTACATTATGAAACTTTTATTCTGTTAATAATGAGCAATATAATAGGCACCTTATAGAGAAATCATTACTTAAATAAAAGCCAGGTTAAAAATTAAAAAATTAAAAAATTTTAAAAAATAAAAGCCAGGTATTACCAAGTATCAATCTTTTCAGCGTTTTAACAGAGAAGAATTAAGTCCCACAAATTTTCCAAATACTCTATCATTTTATCCAAGCTGATAAAGGAGAATACACTTTTAATTTTACCTTCAAAGATTAAAAAATAAGTAGCACCTCCTTTGTTATTCTTCCTCCAATTTCTTTGGCTATGTTGTATATTGTAAACAAAACTAAACTAAGCTCCTGACAGGCTAAGCATGTAACCAGGTCTGAAGCCGAACTTATGAACTATTAGTGAAAACATAGTAACACCTGAAGATTAAATTGAAATTTTTGCCCAGTTAAGCAACTGAGTCGCTGAAAAGCATTCTAAGGTGATTTAAAACACCTGAAGTAAACTTCGTCAGTTTTCAGAATCATTCATTTTAACTGCTGCCCGAAATTACAATTTTTTAGAAAAGATTTTATTTATTTATTACTTGAGAGATCACAAGTAGGCTGAGAGACAGGCAGAGAGGGGAAGCAGGCTCCCTGCTGAATAGAGAGCCCGATGCGGGACTCGACCCCAGGACCCTGGGATTATGACCTGAGCCGAAGGCAGAGGCTTAACCCACTGAGCCAAGCAGGCGCCCCCGAAATTACATAATTTCTTTACTCACTAAAATCAATTCTAGAAAGCCCTCCAAGAAGACAAGTGTGTATGTATGAGGTAACATTACTCTTTCTCCCAAATACTGACCACCGCTAGGTCTAAATTTGGCTAAATATCTGCAGATTACCCGCGTCTGTAAACATGGTATAAAGAGGTGAGACAAGTAACTCTTAGCACGTTCTCTTACTCGGTAAACTAAATACAGGAATCCCTAAGCCAAAGTCAGTAGATCACATCATACCCAGAATCAAAATAAAAACAACGATCACAAGTTAAAGTTATATTGCTCTTACTGAATCCGAGTATTTATTTCTCACTGTCCGTAACACGGCACCACTTGGGTTTCCGAACAGTGCTACCGGAACAGAGCTTTTATAGGAAAGCCAGAAAGAAGACTGCATAAATTCTGCAAATGGAAATCCACCCGAGTGTGTGCGCGCCTGCAGATACGATTTTGGACTCTCAACAGGTGACTTAAAATTTAGAAACTCGCTGCCTTCTTAAGGAGCTCCAAACTGAAAATTTTTCCAAGAAAAGACGGCACTTGTCGACGTTATCTTTAAACCATTACTCCTCCTAGAAACACCCGGAAAGGCACGGCTAAGGTAGCAGTCGCTCAAAAACGTTCCAGGAAAACTGCGCCACAGCCTGGGGGCGAGGACCGAAACTTCCGCACCCGCCTTTCGCTCGGCCTTTGCCAGAGACTCGGCACCCGGTGCCAGGACCGGCGTCTCCTGCGCGCGGCTAACACTCGCCACGAGCAGCTGGGTTCAGGAAAGGCAATTTGCCCGGCCAGTTGTCCCTTCTTCGTCGTCCCCTCCCTCCCTCCCCCAAGGCCAAGGACAGCGACGTCGTCCTCCCTCTCCTCCTCTTTGGTGCCTTCAGCCAGGAGGCGGGAGTGACCCGCAACAGCTGACCCGGCACAGGCACTGCCTCTCCCACAGCCCTCAGGACACACCATGGGCCCAGAGGCGGGTTTGCAGCACAGCAGCGACGACGCAGGCGGCGGCCCCGGCGACGCTCAACTGCCTCCCTGACCACCGCGACCACCGCCCAACACCACGAGAAGTCGTCGCCACCAACGACAGGACAATCTACGGACCCCCAAACCACCTTCGCGATCGACTCAAGCTAAGTCAACAACTATGGCGGGCGACGGGCGGCGGGCGGAGCCGGGGAGGGAAGCTTGGGGGATGTACGTCACAGCCCGGGCCCCCCTACGGGAGGGAAGACGCCGGCTCGCCCCTCAAAATGGCGGTGGCAGTGACGCGCCTGCGTACCGAACTCCTTCGCCGTCGCGCCACGGCCGGCGGGAAGTGAGGTTCTCAGAGGAGCCGCCAGAAGTGTACGGCGACTTCGAGCCCCGGGCGGCCGAAGAAAAGTCCCCGGCGAGAAGACGAGTCCCGCTAGAAGAGTTCCGGCCTGATTCTGCAAAAGAGGAAGTGAGAGAAAGCGCCTACTACCTTCGGTCTCGGCAGCGGAGGCAGCCGGGACGCCAGGGAGCCGAGGAGATGAACACGCGAAGGACTATCCGCCAGCAGCAGCAGCAGTCACAGCAGCCCCTACTCCAGCCGTCTCCGGTTACCACCAGGAGAGGGTTACGGGACTCTCATTCCTCCGAAGGTGAGGCCGCCGGAGGGAACAGTCTCAGCCGCGAGCCGGGGAGCGAGCGCTGCGCGCGGGTGCAAGCGGCGCGTGTGCGCGTGCCGGGCGTGCGTCCCTCCCCGCGCAGCTCATCCCCGCCCGGGCTCCTGTGGCTCCGCGGCGCGGATGGGCGGGCGCCCCCACGCGGGGTCCGCCCCGACCGCAGGCGGGGAAGAGGCGGCGGCGGGAGGCTTGGAAAGGCGGTCGGGCGGAGCGACCAGAGCGGGCCGCTGTGCGCATCCCTGGGCATCCCCTTGGGGGCTCCGAATGGCCTCTTTCTGCAGGCCTTCACGGGGGGACGGCGGGTTGGGGGGCGGCGGGGCGGGACAGAGGAGCACTTCAGGCTCGGTTTCACTTCGGTCCCCTCTGTCCTGCGGATGTTGCTACCAAAGCCACTTCCATTTCCTCTAACTCTCAGAGGCCACAAGTCCCCAGCCGAGAGTTACGGTGCTGATGTAAGCCTCCAATCCTTTCCCTTCGCCACCCAGGTCGGGGGAGAGAGAGGGGAAATTTGGTCAGTGGGCGTTTCGAGGGATAGCGTAGTGGGAGAATGGACTGGAAACCCCCCCCCCCCAATATTTACACCGAGGTGGGTTAAGGCAGTTATACGGAACTAGATCCCTAATGCCTGATAAACTTGAACTCTTTCTCAAGTATGGTGGTCTCAGCAAAAATGCACCGCGTTGAGGGCCCTCGATGTAATCTCATTGGTTAAGTAGATCGACAAAACGAAATTCTTCATTAGTTTTCCTCTAAATGGGCAGAAAGGATGTTGGCAAAGCGAGTGTATGGTTTTAGGTAAGTCACAGGGGAAGAAACTCCCTTAAGCCATCCACTCCCACCCACCACCTCTTTCCCCATCTAACACTGAGTCACAGGTGAAGTTTGGTGTTGGCCCCCTGTAAGGCACCTATGAGCTAAAATTCCCGGGGTTTGAATCACAATGGAATTACATAGTTAGTGGTAGCCCATTGCCAGATTCAAAGAGGAGGTGGATTGTCAGCTCAGAGCGGAGTACTAGACAACGCTTGTACCTGCCGATCCATGAAGTGCGGACACATTTGAAGATGCGTTTGAAGATGCGTTGATTTTGAAAACTTTACGTTAAAGAGATGTAAGCTGTTGTTGGGTGTAGCTACTCAAGACAGTTTAGCCCGCTTAGTTTTATCTCTCTTTCAAGATTAGAAACTTCCTGAAAACAAAAGATCCCATCATTTTTGAAGTTAATTTTATCTCCTTCGATATCTGAAGACCGCTTTGCGCTTTGCACCGGTCCGCAATAAAAAGGTTACATTGTATTGACTCAGCCGCAGAGCCTAGTGCCGTTGTACAAGCTAACTTTTTTTTAATACATAAAGGATTTATTTCTATATTAGTCAGTCCATGAGGATCTAAACATTCTTCACACTTCTGCTTTCTTCCACATCATTTCTGAAACTCTGGCCCATCTTTTACATTTCTAAATTAATATACCTTTTTTGTAAAGCATCAGAGCTGAATAGTTGATTTTAATGTTGCATTAAAGAGTAGTTATACCCGAATTCCTTTGTTTTGGTAGATCTAATTACACATTTCTAAAGAAATGAATTACTTGCATTTCTGCTTATGTATTGCATAATCTCTACCCACGTCATATGTTCTGAATATTGACAAATGTCATGTCTGTTTTTAGAGGATGAACCATCTTCACAAACTATTTTGAGCCAGACAGTCCCAAAGAAAACTATCCAGAGAACACCAGAAATTCCAGGTAAGAAAAGTGATTTTGTTTGTTGCCTTATCTGCCAGCTTCTTTGTCTGTACACATTATAGCCTGGTTCATCAAGGATCCCATATCATAACTTAACTCAAAGGTTCAGCGAATCTTCTCTATAGATTGTTTCTGGGATTAAGCCATGCAGGCATATGTCAAGAAAAGATGGGATGGATACTAATTACCAGCCACTTTGCATATTCATTTACATAACTCTGCTGGGTAGATGTACCCATTTTATAGGTGAGGGAACAGGAGCTCAGAGAAGCTAAGACTCTTCCCTACAATTACATGATGTATGATGGAACCAAAATTTATGCTCAGGTTTGTCTTCTCCAAAGCCTTTTCATTTTCCCCCAAGTACCTCATTGTCACTCTGCTCTGTAACAATTACCATCTCAGTGAAGTTCATTAAGTGTATCTTGCATGAATATGTCACACTACTTTCCATTTAAAATGGATTAACTGGGGGGTGCCTAGCTGGCTCAGTCAGTAAAGTATGGGACTCTTGATCTCAGGGTAGTGAATTTAAGCCCCATGCTGGGCATGGTGCCTACTTAATAGAAAAATAAACAAAATAAAATAAAATGGATTACATAGTCTGGATGATAAAATCATGACATGATATGGTCAGTATTTCATCAAATCCAAAATGTCATCAGTTGTAAGATTCACATCATTGTTTTATGTACCACCTAGAAGGAAGAAATGCTGCCAGTTAAACTCCTAATATGCCAGAGATGGTCTGATGCCTCCCAATTTCAGAGATATTAAAGTGGAAGAATATTTGTGTCTTAGTATCTATGTAATATAGAAGTGGGCTACATTGATCGTCTTAAAAGTCTTTAAAATTGAGTTTTAAAAAACTGTTTAAACTATTTTAAAAAGCAGGGGAAAGGATTTAGTTCAGTTATTAATGTTTAGTATCCTTTGGTTTTTAGTTCCATTTATTTTCAGTTTGCTTTTTTTTGATATCAGGAAAGTCCCACAACCATAAATAGTGGTAACTATGAAATTGACCATCCCTGACCTTTTTTTTTTTTTTTTAAACTCATATCTTGACTTGTTTCCTTATCCATTGCTCTGATAATGCTTTGGGGTGCCTGGGTGGCTCAGTCAGTTGAGCGTCAGACTCTTGTTAGCTCAGTTCATGATCTCAGGGTCTTGGGATTGAGCCCCACATCAGGCTCTGCACTCAGCGTGGAGTCTGCTTGAGAGTCTCTCCCTCTTCCTCTGCTCCCCCTCCTATGGATGCACACACTTTCTCTCTCTCAAATAAATAAATAAATCTTTAAAAAACAATTATGCTTTATAATTTATTCTGTTCTCAATTTAGAATAAGGTTCAAGTTTAGTTCCAAATAAACATACCCTTTATATTTAATGCCTATGTTACTATGTTAAGATTATAAACTCTCTTAGGAAAATGCTTTGAGGGGTGCCTGGGTGGCTCAGTCAGTTAAGCGTCCAATCTTGGTTTCAGCTTGGGTCATGATCTCTTGGGTGGTGAGATCAAGCCCCGCATAGGGTTCCCTGCTCAGCAGGGAGTCTGCTTAAAGATTCGCTACCTCGGGGCACCTGGGTGGCTCAGCGGGTTGAAGCCTCTGCCTTCGGCTGGGGTCATGATCTCAGGGTTCTGGGATCAAGCCCTGCATCGGGCTCTCTGCTCAGTGGGGAGCGTGCTTCCTCCTCTCTCTCTGCCTGCCTCTGCCTACTTGTGATCTCTGTCAAATAAATAAATATAAAATCTTAAAAAAAAAAAAAAAAAAGATTCGCTCCCTCTGTCCCTTCCCTCATTTGCACGCATGCATGCTCTCTCCCTCCTCCTCTCTCAAATAAATAAATAAATCTTTAAAAAAAAAAAAAAAACTAAAGACCTAAACCAAGGGGCCACCTTCTAAAGCAGCCTAATAAAGACAACTACATCGTTTGTCATCCTGTTTTTGTAAGTCATGGTAAACATCGATTATATTAATTTAGAACAGGTATACAGTTTGAACTCTTCTTATTGTTCGAAGTTCCAGAATTGATTTATTTTCACATTAAAATAGCCATTGGGTTGTTCATTCAGGTTACTCCATGTATACTTATATAACTGTTCTGTCATCAAATTCATTCTTTTCTGGAAATCATGAAGTTGGTGTTACAATGTGAAATTATATTAGAATTTCATTTGTTTTTCTTACAGTTAAATAGATATTTTTGTTCTAACGATGTGGTTTCTAGCTAAACCATCATAGATAAGTTTTTCTTAATGCCTACTATTTTGTCACAAACATTTGATTCTTTGGTTGCTGAACATTTGATTCTTTGGAACATTCTTTCATTCTTCAGATATTTGTTGAGTACCTGCTTTATGCCAGTCCCCATGCTAGGTGCTGGGCGTGCAGTGGTGAGCAAAAGCAGTCAAGGGACAAAGATTGCTACAAAAGAAGGACACTTGCTGTTTTATTCTCTAATTCCTCTCTTTGGTACTCTTTCTCCTTTAAGTATCTTATACAAGGCTATGTATATCATAGAGTGTAGGGAAATTGCTTCTTAAAAGATGGAACTGAAATAGTAATTGATGTCTGTAGATTAAATTGAGCTTTAGGTTTTAAACCTGAAAAGGGAGGGAATACAGCAGAGGAAAAGAGGAAAGTTGTAATGATGGGATTATGAATGTGTATAGGATTTTTAAAGCTGTTTCTTTAAGTTCCAATACCTGATGTGTGAAGCATAAGCCACTAAGGTAGATAGTTCATAAAATCCTAAAGCTGGAAGATTGAGGGAAGTCATCTACTCAAAGTTTCTATCAGGGCAGGTTGTCAGCATCCATACGTATAGTCCCTGTTCATTTTCACTGAAGTGGAAATCATTGCCTCACTATCTGTTCTGTTGTGGAGACAACAGCAATAATTTATTTAAGTAATGAACTAAAATCTACTTTGTTGTAACTTCCTCTTATAGATCTTAGTTCTGCCTTTTTTGAGCTATGTAAAATCAGTGTAATCACTTCTCTACATCTCTGTCTTTAAGATGCATGGCAACATGCTCAGTAAGTATTTTTTGAACAAACGAGCAGCTGATCCTTCAGAATATCTCTTCTAGATACTTGAAAGGGGAAATTAGGTTAAGTCCATTTTGTCAAAACAAATACGGCAGTTAGTGTAACGGAGGGGACCAGTGATATCTAGTTCAGAATGATTTTCACAATTATACCGAGACAAACAGAATGCTTTTTACAGAGACAGATGAAACAAACGTATTATAATCCAAATTTAGATGTATATTAGACTTTTAGTTCACGTTGTTTAGGGCTCTCTGATAAAACACACCTTGGTTTGCTAGGTTAACATTTTATCTAATGGGATTGGCTTTTCCATTAACCCTATGCCATTGAACCTTAGTCTGAAACAAATCCTGGCTGAGTTAACATTTCATTTAAAATTAGAGCTTGAATTTCTTGAGTACACCCAAGGTTAAAATTTGGACGGACTATATTAACTCTAAGGAAGTTAACCCAAAAATTAAAATATGCCAGGAATAATCCCTAATGAGGATAAGCCCCAAATGGAATAAATAATTGAGTTGCTGTAGCAGTGCAAATTTTGGTTCTTAATTGGAACTATTAGAAGAGTTTTATTTGGTATTCTTTTCTTTTTATATAAATGTGGTCTGTTCAGAAAAACTGCTTATTTTTCCATCACGTTCATAAACTTTTTATGGCAGGAAACTTGTCTATAGTTCACTATTATATTCCCATACTTAATGAAAGGCTCAGAAAAACCTTTGTGGAATAAATAGATGATTGTATAATAAATTTGTATGTTTGACATTTCATATTTTTTTAAATGCTTTTTCTTCTATATTAGTGGTGAGTGAAGATCCTATAATCAGCCTGCGTAGACCCCCTCTAAGAAGTCCAAGATCTGGTAAGAGATTGTTTTGTCTGTTGGTTTAACTGTTTTATAAATATAGTTTTATTTTTAAATAGGTTAGTATGTGTATTCATATGGTTCAAAATTTTAAAGTTATTAAAATATACAATGAAAAGTCTCCCTACCTTCTCTGCCCTTTACCTACTAAGTCTCCTCATCAGAAGCAACCAATGTCTTCGGTTTCTTAGGTCTTTTTTAGAGATATTTTATGGAGATACAAGGAAATTCATGTATTAATGATATTTTCCTCCCTTCTTAACACAAACGTTAGCCCAGTTAACACTGTTATGCACCTTCCTATTGTCTGTTTTTATTTTTACTTATTTTCCATTTACATATATAAAGGGCTTCCTCATTCTTTTTAAGAGGTTGTTCTTATATGTTGCTATGATTCTTTTTGTTAGCATGATGATTTTAAACTAGGATTGGGAACTTTTTATTCTTCCCAGCATAATGCTACTAAAAAAATCAAAACTGAGGCTTTATAGCTCAGGGCTATAAAATTTTTCTGCCTCATTTATATTTCTTTTTGACTAAGACCTCTAAAAATGTTGCCCTTAAGTTGATTTCATGACTATGAAAGAAAACTAGTAAAGTTATTCCAAGCAGTTTACTTCTGCTTCATTTTCAGAGTTTATTAGTCAATAAGGGGGCTTTATCATGGGAACTAAAAAAGAACCTTATTTATCTTCCCATTAGGCTTTTACTCCTCAGTCCTTTTCTTTAAGAAAAAGTTAGGATGGTTTGCTTTTTTTTTGTTTTGTTTTTTGGGGTTTTTTTTGATGGATGGATAACTGTTATTTCAAGGATTGTAATGATAAAGATCTGTTAAGGTTTGATGATGCACCTGTGGTAGAGTACCATATGATGCATTTCCTTTTAAGCTCTAATCATTTTCTTGCTCTCTCTTGCAGATTCGGCATACAAAACAAATGGAAATACTAAAATGAGTGAATTAGGTTTGTTTACTTCTAATTTTTATAGGTTTTTTTTGAGGGTCTTGGTTATCAGAATACAGGAATATACACATTTAGTCACAGGCTTGAGAATATTTTGTTCATTATCTCCGCTTGTGGGACACTGTCCCTATGGCCTTGATCTTTCTTAATTGCCCTTCTCTGAAATTACATCATCTGTCATATTATTTAAATTCATAAATGAATATGTAATAACATACATTTTAATTTTTTTAGACTTTGTTAAACTCAGACTCCTGGGAGAAAAGGGATATCAACTTGCGCGTTCACATTTTTTCTTGATTTAGAAAGTAAATTCAAGATGTCTTTTGCAGTAAGTTCAGCATCTTTTCCGATGTTTGCTGAACTGGTTTAAATGCTTTTCAGTGTTTGCTTTGGTGTAGGACATGAGATACCAAGAGTGAACCTACATTGATTGTGGTTGGACTTAGTTTTAAATTTAGAGGTGAGTCAAAAAGGAAGGAAGTCTCCCTTTTTTTTTTTTTTTTTTTTAAGAACTAGTTGCAGCTTCTTTGAAATTCATCTTTCACTTAGGTTCAGGCTGATTTTTTTTTTTTTTTAAAGATTTTATTTATTTATTTGACAGAGAGATCACAAGCAGGCAGAGAGGCAGGCAGAGAGAGAGGGGGAGGAAGCAGGCTCCCTGCTGAGCAGAGAGCCCGATGCGGGGCTCGATCCCAGGACTCCGAGATCATGACCAGAGCCGAAGGCAGCGGCTTAACCCACTGAGCCACCCAGGCGCCCCATCAGGCTGATTTCTTAAAGATTTCAGGATTTAGTGTCTGGCTACTGAAAACGTTCTTTACATCATGCAACTCGTGCACTCATACCCACCAGAGTTTCTCAAATGCTTTATTTAAAACCCCCCCAAAAAACTTTTTTTAAGTTATAATCTCTTAATTGGAAGAGAAGTTGGAGCTGAAATAATTCAGCACTTTTACTTTCTATTGTAGATTTAAAAATTATTTTTATAAATACTTTATAATAAGAACTTTTTAAAAACTGCTTTCCATTTTTTTTTTTTTTTAAAGATTTTTTATTTATTTGACAGAGAGAGATCACAAGTAGGCAGAGAGGCAGGCAAAGAGAGAGGAAGGGAAGCAGGCTCCCTGCTGAGCAGAGAGCCCGATGCGGGGCTCGATCCCAGGACCCTGAGATCATGACCTGAGCTGAAGGCAGCGGCTTAACCCACTGAGCCACCCAGGCGCCCCAAAACTGCTTTCCATTTTAAAGAAAAATTTCTACACGATTGCCAGAGAATGGCATCTTCTGAGTCTTTTTTATGGTAATATTCTTAGAGTATTAAAAGTGGCTATTCATGGAGCTTCAATATTATTGTTATCCCCAAACTGTTTTTTACACTCTCCTTCCTGCTGCCCCATTCTAACCCTTTCCTCAAAAGCATGGTTGACATTGAATAATCTTAAAGGTACCTCTCTTAAAGGTATCTGTATGAGGAGTCAGCTTCTGAGTAAAATCTTACTTGCAATCCTGTTTTTGTAGAGTCTATGAGCTAAGAAAAGAGACTTTGTGTGGCTGGCAGAGTCTCAAATATTTACTATTTGGCCCTTTATGGAAAAAGTTTACCACTCCCTCGTTTATATCAGTGGCAGAAATAGAGACCACAAATCACCCAAAGTGACATTTGCTTAAGAGTAAATTCAGACAGTTACATACTTGCCTGGACATAGATTTATTGTAGCACCCCATTATTAACCTCTGTGGACACCGCAAGAAGACGGGAGATACAACGGCTCCTGTATTCTAGCTCGTCTTCTCTTTGAGAAAGCATGAGAGTTTAATTAATGAAATCTTTCTTTGTCCTCAGACAAAGCACAAAATAAAAGTTTTATTTCCTTGCATATCCTTCACTTCTCACACCAACACATTTGGTAAGTCTCTAGGAATAGAAACTCTGTAATACAAATATACCTGGAACTTTGTATTTTCCTTTAAAACTGTAGCCAAGCAAAAGAAGGTGATACAGTTACTAATTGGTTTCCACCAGAAGAGATGGTTGTAAGTGATCTATTCTTATAACAAGCAAGTTCCTAGGACTTCTGAAAGTACCTTTCCCTAATTGGTCGAGATTATTGGAAAAGTAATACCTCCTTAACAGCTCCTTTAATTATTGCCATTTGTCTACTAAATGGCACAGCTTTTATGATTTTTTTCCCTCTTGGGCCCGCTTTATTTGGAATTGGGGGCGGAGCGGGGGCTCTAGGCCTGCTGGGCCTGCAGCAGTGCTCACACTGAGCTGATCTGCCTGTCAACAATAGAGCCCACCGTGCCACTCAAGGTAGTATACTGCTCCATGCTGTGTCTGTAGTACCACAGGCAGCCCATGTGGCCCACGAACGATGACCCACTGGGCTAATGACCCATAGCTCCTTCGGCGATAACTGGTTGAGGGCAACCCCTTTGGTCTTGGCCATGAACACGGCCTTCTTGGAGATCTTTCGGTCCTGATGGAATGGCATCCCTTTGCGGACCAGGTAGTAGGTGATGTCAGTGGCCAGAATGTCTAGGCTAAGACCTGTACCCTGTTCTCACAGTGGATCTGAGGGACACCAGTAGTAGGGAATGCTGAATCCTGGAGATCCTGGGTGGTGAAGCTGCCAGCCCCAGGCCCAAGCTCTACTCCTCTCAGCCAGGATGTCCCCAGCTATGGGCGGATGTACTCAGACCTAGCCTATTCTCTCTGTTTTGCCGCAGCTTTATAATATTTTAACTATTTTTTTTTTCTAAAATTAAGGGTATTACTGCTCCAAATAAGAGTTTAATTTCTCAAAGCTTCTGTGTAAGCATAGTGAAGAATAATACCTTTTAAAAAAATAGTGTTTTTAACCTTCTACATGCAGAAGCCAAGGAGTTTAAAAAAGAGGAAGATGAATACAAAAGAGGGAAATGAAATTAAAACTTTTGTATAGTCCTAGATGCTGCTGATTCATCATCAGTTGTATTTAAATATTTATATATTCTTTGCAGCTTAGGTTAAAAAGATGAAAACGGAATGTTGAAAACCTTGCATGAAACCTAATTATTAAGCACTAATTTCACACTATTTTCTTGAGTTGTTAAGTAATGTTGTCATGGTGTGAGAAATATTAACGAAAGCCTTAACTTAAAAATTTATTCTGTGATATAAAAATCTATTCATTTGTTAAACAAACATTTTATTTTTAATAACCTTCTCTATATCAGTGACTGGCCTAAATGCTAGAACCATAACGAGCCATGGGGTTTTTTTTCTCTAGCTCTTATACTCATGATCTAATGGAAATGAAAACATGTTGGAAAAATTATTATAATTTTGTAAGTGTTAAAATGGTGCTATGTGTATGTGATAGCGTGGAGGAGAGGTTGGGAAGGTTTCATGAAGGAAATGGCATTTGACCTGAATTTTGAAGGGTCAGTAGCAAGCAGAGTGGGGAAAGAGATTTGCAGGTACTTATAAATGTCTTATAATAGACATCTCTGTTTATCTTCACAGTCTGTGCAATATGAGAAATTAAACCCTTTTGCATTAGAGACAATAGTCTCAGATTAGCTGTGAATCTGAGATATGTTAAATAACCTCTAGGATGACATTCTAACAGTAGACTTGGAATTCTTGACCTTCATTTACTAAAATGAAAACCATGTTAAGCATCTGCCTTCGGTTTGGGTCATGGTCCCCGGGTCCTAGGACCGTGCCCTGCATCAGGCTCCCTGCTCAATAGGAAGCCTGCTTCTCCTTCTCCCACTCCCCCTGCTTACATTCCCTCTCTCGCTGTCTCTCTCTCTCTGTCGAATGAATAGAATCTTAAAAAAACAAAGTTAGGGAAACTTAGTTTTAAAAAAATTGTAAATATAGGCAAGACAATGGGTAGACTGACATAGTGATGATTATTATCAAATCAAATAAATGTATAGGTTTTATTATTATTTAGAACATCTGATTTCATGACATATCATTGGATTATGCATAAGGCATAAGGATATTAGTGATATCAAGATAACCTTGTTTAGCAAGTTACTATTCATGTCTTGAATACTATTGATAAATATTGTTAGAAACATAAAATTCTATAGAAAGGGCTTTTAAAGACTAGAATCTAATTTTAAAAGTGTTCAAAAATCGATAAAATCCATGATATATTGAATACCTCAAATATAATGATAGAAAAAATGGGAGCTCCCTTATATAAATTGGTTAAAAATTTTTTTAAATTATCCCCCAGACTGATTAGATAATACATACATAAACAAAACAAAGGAAATCGAATTTTAGGCAACCTGTATATGAGGGATTGATTATTAGGTGAATCGGCTCTAAAGAAATTGACCTGGAGTTTAAAAAGTACATGGAAATAAATTAGGATCGAAAAGGGAAGGATAACTGCACTATATACCCCCCCCCCCGGTAGCTCAATGAAGGAATATACAGATTCTGAAATCAATTCAGCCTTAAATTTTGCTATACCAAATAATTTTTTAATTATATAAAACATAATGCCCTAATATAAATGTGACTTCAGCAGAACTGCTTTGTAAATGAGTTACACTTAGAAGTTGTTGAACCTCAGAAGAGTTCAGCACTCTGTCGTTTCTTTATCATTAATTTATCTTAAAAATTGAGATGTTTCTGGTTTTCCTCCTTTTCCACATGTAAGAAGCTTGGAAGTCACCATGCCAACCTAACAATAAATAAACACAACTGAAAAATCAAAAGCTCTTTTTGGATCTGTGAGAAAGGAGAGAACACAGGGCAAATCCCTGCCTCCCAGAGTAGAGAGACAAATACAGGATATCTTGGCTTCCCAAGAGCAAAGACTGAAAAGCGGAGACCTCTGCAGGAACCAGTTCTGGGGTAGAAAAACCCGAGCTATAACTGATCAATTGTAGGAGGCTCCATGTGAAGTCTGAGAGTGAAAAATGCCAAGGGGACCCAGTCATCATGGTGCCCCCACTGTACTGTGAGATTTACCTCCAGGAGCTCG